ACAAACAAACAAACAAACAAAAAAACCGCTAATATTTACGGAGGCTGGTATATGCCAGGCATGGCACTAAGTGCTTTGTATGGATTACCTGACTCGATCCTCCCAAAATCCCAACAAGCAATGGAGGTACCATTATTAGCCTCCTTTTGGAGGTGAGGAAGCTGAGGCTCAGGAGATTAGTTAAAAGTTTACAAGGTAACACAGGCTGGAAATGATGGAACCCTTGAGAATGCCAAGGGTCTCCTGTAATTGCTTAAAAATTACATTGGCAGGATGTTAGTTAATACTCAACCTGTAAGTAAGTTAGTGACCTTTGTTCCGAACTGGATGCTGTGCTGGGATGGGGTGCAGAGAGTGGGCTGACAGTAGGCTGATGAATATTCCAGTCCAGCCCTTTGCGTTTGGTTGGTGTCATTCAGTGAACACTTGGTTCATTTGCATCAGCAGTGCAGACATCCTTGCTGAGCTCACAATTAGATTTCAGGGCCCCAGCAGTGAGTCAGGTCCAAAGTGGCCAATGAGTGAGGAACTGAAAGCCAGATGCTCTCAGCTGCCTTTGGAACCCCCTGTCTCACTAGCAGCTTCTCTCCTCACTGCTGTCACTGCCTCCATAAACCCTGCCTTTTCTCCCCGCGTCCCAACCCCAGGGCCTGCTACCTGCAGTTTGGACTGAAGCACATGGAGTTGGCTCTCCAGCTCTCTGTGCTGGGTCCCCAGGCTCTTCCAGTCTTCCTTCAGAGCTTCATACTGGCTCCTCCACTCTTCACACTTCTGCTCAGCCAGAGCCAGGGACCGCTGGCGGGTGGGGGGTCAGACAAGAGGAGCAAGGGGAGGGTGCCTTGGGGGTTCCAGGGAGTTCTGCAGGTGTCTCCCAGGCTGCCCAGAGGCTCCCCCCTTCCCCCCCACCCCGGGGCCCCAGCCTCAAGATTACACAGCACGCCCACACCTGCGCGCTCTGCAGTTGCTGCTCTGCGCTCATTTTCTCCTCCAGCACTTTCTGCAGCGACTCCTTGGCTTTCTGCTCGTAGCTGTTTTTCTGGTCTTCCATCTCCAATAACACCTTTTTCATTCCCCAAGGGGAGTATTTCTGTAAATTTGATGCAATTCAACAAAACATATTGAGCTTCTGTGTGCTGAACCCTGAGATGGGATAGAGACATGAAAAGAATTGGGTCCTTGCCCCCAGAGCAGAGATACCAGTAATCTGATGGACCTTCTTCCAGGCTGGAGGGGAGCAGGGAGAGGGTCCCAGGTGATGAGGGAGGTAAGCAGGGATAACAAACAGTGTCCTGGCATGGTGAGCATCCCCTCGGCCTTCCAGGGGTGTTTCAAATTCAACATTTCCAAAGCAAAATCATCTTTCTCAACCTCCTTTCTCCTGGGTTCCTTATCTCAGTGACCAACATCATCACCTGCTCAGTCTCCCAGGCCTGAGACCTGGGAGTCATCCTTGATTTCTCTCACTTTCTCCCAGTAATCAGTTGTTCCTTGAGCTTTGTCAAATCAAACTCTTTAACAGCTCATATGTGTCTCTGTCTCTTCTCTGTACTTCCTGTCACCTCCTTAGTTGCGACTCTATGGGTCAATGCAGTGTTTTCTCCATCTTCAACCTTGTAGCTGATCATGTCACTCCCTGTTTAAATCTCTCAGTGACTAAGGATCAGGTCCAAATTCCTTGGCATGGCTCCCACATGTAGCTCAGACTTTGATTCTATGCTGCTTCTACCCAAGCTGAATTGCTTGCAGATCCCCTAACCACTGTGCTTTTGGGCCTCTGCCTTTGTCCATATAGCTTATGCCTAGAGGTCCTTACCTACCCTTTTCACCTGGTTAACCTCTACTCATGCTCAAGGTTCAGTTCAAGAATCATGTAAGGTCTGATAAATCTTGACCAATCACCCCTATCCCCCAACTCATTATGAGTTAGGTAGCTTTTCTTTGGGTTCACGTAGTATCCCTTGTATGTCTCTATCTTCCCACACTATTGATTCATTTTTCTCCCTCATGGGATTGTAAACACCTTCAGGTTAGAGAGCAAGCTTTTTTTTTTTTAATGCTTCTTTATTATTATAATTTTAAGTGTTTAAATTATTTTTGAGAGAGAGAAAGAGAGAGAGCGAGCAAGAGCACAAGTGGGGGTGGGGCAGAGAGAGAGGGAGACTCAGAATTTGAAGTAGGCTCCAGGCTCTGAGCTGTTAGCACAGCTCGAGCTCATGAAACGTGAGATCATGACCTGAGCTGAAGTGGGATGCTTAACCTACTGAGCCACCCAGGCGCCCCACCCCCCCTTTTCAAATGTTTGTAGTTTCAGAGATCTGAACAATCCCCAGCACTCTCAATGTTTTTAAATTAATACATTTTCATTAAAAAAAAAATTAGCTTCAGGATTTAAGAAAAGAGCAACTTTACAAATTCACTTAGGGTCTTGCCCTCCCCATCCCTTTCATCTTTTTGCCCTGTGATTCTGGGGAAGGCAGGAAGCTTTTACTGTCAATTCTGGGTTACCCCACTGTGTAAACAGCAGTCCAGATCATGCAAATTTAGGGATCCATATGAAGTCATTTCCATTTAGTTTTGGGACCATCTGAAAATTTGGATTTAAATGTGAGTGGGTCTTATGTTCTTGGAATTTCCATTAGAAGCCAGATCCAGGAGCCACTGGCTGAAGTCATACATGGGTATGTCCCAGTTAGTGGACTTAACCATGCTGGCCAGCTTTACCCGCTCCCCCACCCCTCACCCCTGCTGAAAATCAAGAGACTGGCATTCTGGATTATATGTTGGTATTTTATGAGCTGGGTTGACATTATTTAGTTCATAAGAGTCTGACAAAACAGGCCATACTGAAAAAATAAAAGTTGTGGGTCAGCAAACCTGGTTATAAACTCTGTTCCCCCACAAGACCCCAACCATCCATCGTATCTCCCCAACTCCACATGCTTCACCTCATTCTCTTATCTGACCCCTCACCACTTGTCATTTCTATCTCTTGTAATCCCCGATCAGGTCAATGCAGAGTTTAGTGAAGATGGGTAACAATGCCATAGAAAAGCCAAGAGTCATAGCCTTTTACTTTCTCCCAGGGATTGCTACTAGACAAAAGTTGCCCGTGGAATGGAAACCATTTTGTAAGGTTTTATTATAATATCCAACACTTCTGTTCAAAGATTGGGACCTGTGAAGGTCTATCTGGGTGGTGTGAATCTTTACCTCTCCTTACAGTCCCAGGTATTCCTAAGGTTTCCCTGGAGCTGGCAAAGTACTTGATTTGGGGGTTCCTTCTCAGGGTACAAAGGGAAGGACACTAGGAAAAAGGGAGAAGAGGGTGGATTGGGGACCAAAATGAAAATGGCAAAGCCAGAACTGGGTGAGTAGGAATGGGTACATTCATCTTTGTTGGGTGTCCTTTCTAGAGCATAGGATTGAGGTTCAAGCATTCTCCTTTAATTCTAGATTCCTGGGCTGGAAGTGTCCTCCAGAATGCTTACCTGGGTACAGGTGTACAGCTGGTTTTCTAAAGATCTCAGTTTGCACTTCAATTTGTCTTCATTAAGCTGGCCCTGGAGCAAATGGGATGACTTAATTAGTCTGGGCCAAAATATAGCATGCAAAGAGTTTTCTTCTGTTTTCCCAGCTTACTGCCTAGAACATGGTCTGTGCTCAAGCAATGTTTGTGGAACTGAACTCTTTCAGGAGGTAGGGAGGAGGAAGGACGTCAAAGGATGTTTAGGTAGAAGAGGATCTTTTCTTCTGTCTCTGGAATAGGAGAAGGAGGAATCGGACTGGCCCCAAGTCTTCTCTGTATCTTGAGGTCCTCTATCCAATGGCTCAAGGTATGATAATAGTTCACTTGAAGGAAATCTTCTAAGCTCTTCTTTTCTTTCCTCATTACCTCGCTCTCCTGTCTGTCTAGGCACTTCTGTATTCCTCACCCCCTCAGTTGTGTACAGGATCTTTACTTCTAAAGTATAGGCCAGTAAGACCAAAAGGGTCTCCACATTCCCTTCCTTACCTCCATCATGGGCTGAATTGTGTCCCCCTTTGCTCTCCCCACCCCCAGATTTATACATTAACATCCTAACTCCCAGCGCCTCAGAATGTGACTGTATTTGGAGATAGGATCTTTAAAGAGATAATGAATTTAAAATGAGGTTGTTAGGGTGGGCCCTAATCCACTATGACTGGTATCCTCATAAGAAGAGAACAGAGCACTATGTGAAGAAGACACAGGAGAAGACCGTCATCTGCAAGCCAAGGATAGAGGCCTCAGGAGAAACCAACCCTGTCAATACCTTGATTTTAGACTTCTAGCTTCCAGAATTGTGAGAAAATAAATTTCTTTTGGTTAAGCCATACAGACTGTGGTATTTTGTTATAGCAGCCCTAACAAACTAATGCCTCCCCTCCTTGCCTCCTTCCTTCCCCTAACACACACACACACACACACACACACACACACACACACACACACACACACTGGACTCAAGATGAGAAATTCTTTAAGAAAGCAGGACATGGAGGAGAGAGATCAAGTGAGGCAGGGTATGTGTATGTGGGGGGTGGTGGTGGTGATTAAAGGGCTTCCCAGAAAGTCACACATAAGTAGGGTCAGTTGCATGACATTTTGGACATTCCAAGAGGGATGCTAATCTCAAGGATGGGAGTGGGGAAAGGCAGGCAGGAAGAGCCTTATCTGTTTCTCAATTTTTCAGTATTTTAGCTGAGTAGCTAACAACCTCCTTGCTGCTTTGTTCTTTCCCCCACCTGTAGTTGTCTCTTTTTACCACGGCGGGGTTTTGTTCTTCCAGGCCTGAGTCTGACCTAAGTTTGTAAGAGGATCGGGAGAGAGGAGGGTGTGGGTCTCTAGCAATAACCAGTTTTCATATCCTTTTTCTGGCTTTTTTTCCCAGTAGGCTTTGCTGGACACTTGGGAGGTCTAGAAATTACATTTCTCTTCTGGCCTGAGATGCCATGGCCCTTCTCGGGTGGCTTGGGTGTTTGGAACCCTCATAACATTTCCCGTCTGTAATGGCCTGGGTGCAGAGGAGGGGACTCTGTTTTGAGGTCTGTCCCCTTCTGAGTTTCAGGGCACCTGGGGAGGGCGCAGGAAGTGGTATCTCACAGCTCCTGTTTTGATCTTGTTTGGCTGATTCTTCTGACCCTGGGAGCCAGGGGGCGCCCCCACCCTTTCTGCTTCCTGTATTACTCAGCTGGGCCTTGCAAAAGCAAAACGCTTTGCCAAAAATAATTTTTCAAAGTGTCTCCTGCTATTAATGTTTTTCATAATGTCTCGTGTGAGAGCTGAGAGTCTAGGATTTGGCATCTACAGAAACCACAGGGCTTTGGGACAGATAAAAGAGATGGACAAAGACTTCCATTGTTCTGGGCTTTGGAGTAACTGGTAAAAGGGCTGCATTCCCCTGAGTGTCCTGTTCATTGTCAGTCCACAGGTCCTGAAATCAACTCCTTCTGCACTCCCATTTCCTGGTTCAGATCTCTGCATTTTCCTGTGCCTAAACTCTTGCCACGGCAGAATGTAATCAAGCCCACTGAGTTTAAGGTTTATCTTGCTGTAGTTTGGGAAGAAAACGAACAAGCCCAAAACATTACATCCTTACATTTCCCCCCATATACTCCCATTTTTGGGTAGCTCCTCTCTCCTTCCTTACTGTGGTTTTAATTCAATGTTTTGCCTCTTCCAACTGTTTTTGTATTTTAGCCGTACCCCAGATTACTTTTCCATTCACAATGCAATAAAAGACAATTCAGGATAGCCCCTTCAGTGGGGATGAAGGGCCACCCAAGTCTGGGGATTGAAAAAAATCTCTCGTCCACAGCTCCACCTTCCCAGACTCCCTGAGGCAGGGAAGAAAGTTGTAGCCAAGTTGTTGCAAATGGGGCATGTAGTTTCCTGGTCTGAGCCCCAGCTACCCCGACTGAAACCCAGTGGTACAGTATGTGGGAAGAAGCACCCTTTACAGGCCTACTGTGGACCTTTTTTTGGCAGTCGCCCCCCCTGCCAGGAGCCCAGGGCTCAGAGAGCACGGGACCCCCAATTGGAAAAGGGAACAAGGTGGAGGCCGTACACACCTGGTGCTGGTCCGAGGGCTTCAGCTCCTGCTTCTGCTTGGCTTTCCCCGGCCTCTGATCTGTTCTCCAGAAACACTACCGCCACACCGCAGAAGCGCCAACCCACAGCTCATCTGTGCTCTAGCAGAGGTTGCTTAGGGCTTGCAGCCAATCCCCCGCTGTGCTGTCATCTCAAGATCTCGTTTCCACTTTGCAGAACTTAGAACCCAACTGTGCCCCACTCTTGTTTTGGTATTGCCCAATACTGAGAGCCTGCTTTCTCGACTGCCCGAACCATCTCCCCTCTGAAGGTTGGACCTAGCTCAGGAGTATCAGCAGTGCCCCAGGCCCCACCACATCCAGTAGGCCCAGACTTAGCTTGGAGGTAGAGGCAATGGAGGGAGCTCCTTCTTGGGGTTCTCGCAGGGTTTGCCGTGGGCTGCCCTGCATGTGAAACTGGGAGAGTCAAATCATGGAGGCCAAATGGAAAAAATAAAAGGTCTGAACTGGGTTGAATGTCAAAATCCCCGTTTGGGTCACATTCTTCCAGTTGGTTTTCCCAAATACCACAGTCTGGGGCTGCTCTTTCATCCAGGCTGAGGTCTCCATGGCAGGGGTAGAGGGCTGGATGATTTTGTTTTGAGGGAAGCAAGAGCCCTTAACTGACAAATCTGACTATTTTTGTTAAAAACAGGAAGCTGGGGTGCCGGTGGGGAGGAGGGAGAAAAGAAGCATGGGTATGCAGAGGGGTGGGAAGAAGGGAGGGAGAAAACCACAACCAAAGGAGCTTCTGCTCGCCTGCCCTGCCCAGCGTGGAGTGAAACTGCCCGCAGAGGTGCCCTGAGAAGTGTGTCCTGTCCTCACTGAGCTCCAATGACTCAGGCTCTGACTGCACCTCAGTGCCTAGGACGTCACCAGAGATTTCGCCGCTTCCACACCCACCTGGAGCCCAGGTCCTCACTGTTGTCAGAGACCATTTCAAAGCACAGATCGGATCATTCATTCTCAGCGCAGTTCCGCAACTATTTCAGCCTGTGTGCTGCCGAAGAGAGCACAACTCCACAGCCCCTGACTGAGCTGCTTGTGAAGATGGGCGGAATCTTGCTAAGTGTAGGACTTTCACCCCAGATGCAGCGCCCTCCCAGTGCTACCTGCTGACCACCTGGAGCAGCGTTTCTCACATGGGTAGCATGTGTTCTCACGGACCTGTGACACATATGCTTTTCCTTTAGGAAGGAGTCTCTGTGTTATTTACGTTTGACATACCCCATCAGTGGAAAAAGTTTAAGCTTCATAATTCCAGAGTCTTCGGAACTCCTCTGACATGATCCCTTCATTTCAGCCAAACTCAGCTGCACCCAATTGCTTGTTACACAGAGGCCTTATAATCATTCCGATTGCTTTGCCTTAAATCCCCTTTCCTTTCTGCTTTTTCTTCCCCATCATCATTCCTACGTCTGCAACTGGTAGACTATGCATCCTTCCAGGCTCGGCTAAAATGGTCCCTTTCCTTTGGATCCTACCCTGTTCCACCTCAGGCAGAAAAATTGCCTCCTTCTCCTTCCTCTGTGTCACTTTGTAGAAACCCCTGTTATGGCTTTTCCACACTGTATTCGTGTTGTTTACTACCCATCTCTCTCTTCCTGGCTGATACGTGAGCTCCTCAAGAGCAAGAACCCTACTTTTTGTCCCTGGAGCCAGGGCTCAGCACACAGTTGAAACTTAATCAAATGTCTGTTGAATAAATGAGATGATCTCAAATTAGTTCAGCACCGGAAACCACCTGGCATGCACAGCTGTCTGTCTCAGGCTTCTGCTCTGCTGATGCAAACGACCTTCCTTAACCACCAGGAGCCCCAAAACACAGACACTTAAATCCTGGTACAATGATATATGAGGAAGGAGGACCAAGCTTAGAAAGCTTCTTTTACATCACTGTAAACTTCTCAGTTTTGTTGTACACTGTCCCATCCCATCTTTCTGTCTAAATAGCAAACCATCTATGCTGTAGGGTTAGATGTCCACGGAGGCTTGTGAGTGTGTACATTCTCTTTGTACTTGGTGCCTTATGCCCCAGTGGCATAGCTCCCTGAACATAATATAGTCTAGAGGGTTTCCATGTGGTGTCTGAGGACCCCTGGGAATCCCTAAGACCTTTTCACTGGTTCTACGAGGGCTTCCCTTTTCCAGCTACATATCTGTATGAGGCTGGATTTTCCTTTTCTACGCTTCAATGAAAACAATGTATTGCAACAGATGGAATGCAGAAGAAAATATGTGAATCTAGCTGTCTTCTGTTCAGACTTTAAAAAGATTTGCAAAAGTATAAAACAATGCTATTTCTCTTACTATTTTTTCAAAAACTGTACTTATCTTTCATAAAAATATGTAATTTAGATTCACACGCAATGGGTTTACTATTTTTATTTTAAAATTTATACATATTTTGAAATTCCTATTTTCATTTCTAATATAGTAAATCTCAATATGGTAAATAGAAACAGTTCTTTGGGGTTTTCAATAAACTTTTTAAAGAGTATAAAGCAATCTTCAGATTGACACCCATATCGTGCCTCTGGGTCTTTCCTGTGCTGTATTTCCATCCCAGAATATAGTTCCCACTTCCACATTTGTCTGGAAAATACTTATGTAACTATAAATATTCCCTGGTTCTCCTATTCTCTGGATTCATTCCTTCCTTCTTGTGTGCTATTATATCCTGAAAAACATTTATTTCTGATATCTCTGCATTGTTTAGGCATCTGTCTCCCTGACAAAACCACAAGCTCTCTAAAAGCAGGAACCCTGACTAATCAATCTTTTATTTCCAGTGCTCAGTACAGAAAACACGGTCTATGAATATTTGTTGAACAAATGGACTAAAATAAGGAGGTCTGAATTTTAGTTTCAGTTCTGCCTGTAACTAGCGATGTGACTTTGGGCAAGTCACTTGACCTCTCTGACACTCAGTTTCCTCATTGGTAAAATGAGAAAACTTAGACTATGTGATATCTAAGGTCCTATCTCACTTTGACATTGATGTCTAAGCTGAATCGTGGGTGCATGATAGCTTGGCATTAATATTGGTGTGAATCCCATATAAAAATAGTTGACATTTACCACAGTTAGTAATAGCAACTGTATTGGGATCTTCCTCCTTTTATTCCAACATATTAAAAAATGGGAATTCTTTCCAATTTTGGTTCTGGGTCTTCCCTGGGTATGGAGCAGCATCACCCCAGCTAATGACCGTGGATTTAGCTGAGCTCTCCCATGTATGTAACATCTTTGCCCTTTAGGCCTCAGCAACCCCCCCAACCCCCCCACCTTGCCTCTTCAGTAGTGAGAAAACCCCTTATCTTGCTGGGGTGATGTGGAAAGAAGAATGAGATGGGCACCCATAGACGCCCATGAGTTTTGTTCAAACAAAGATTTCATTCCCTTACCTTCCAAGAGCTGTCAGAGGCCCTTATCAGCGTGGACAGTAGGTCTTGGAGAATCACCATTTTCTGTTTTAGAACCAGTTCCCTTTGGAGGGCCTCCTGGGGGGAAAAATGCAAGAAGGTAAGATTAACCTGGAGGAAGAAGGAGTAGATGGGTGGAGGAACTGAAGAGAGAGTTCACATGTTACTTACTTTGAGGTACTCAGAAAGCTGGATGATTTCCTAGAGAGAAAGAAAAAGAGTATTCAAGAAGACTCTAGGGGTGCCTGAGCCCCACCTCAGACTCTACACTGACAGTGTGGCGCCTGCTTGGGGTTCTCTCTCTCTCCCTCTCTCTCTGCCCCTCCCCCACTCATGCTTTTTCTCTCTCTCTCTCTCAAAATAAATAAACTTAAAAAAAA